TTTCCTTTTTTTTTTCTTTCCTGTTCCCCTCCAGTTTTCTTCCCCATTTCTTGCCCCTTCCCCTCTTCCTTTTCCTTCCCAATTCTCCTCTCTTTTTCTTTTCCCTTTTGCCTGTCTGTTGCTCTCTTCTCAACCTACCTCCTCTCTTTTCCTTTCCCTCCCTCTCCCCTCCCCCTGTCCTGTAACGTTAAGTAAAGAAAACACTTTACACTTAATATTCCAGTTGATTATATAAGAGCTGAGAACTTAAGTGAAGAGAGAAGAGAAGACAGAAGTGAAGAGAGAACAGAAGAGAGAAGAGAAGAGAGAAGAGAAGAGAGAAGAGAAGAGAGAAGAGAAGAGAGAAGAGAAGAGAGAAGAGAAGAGAGAAGAGAAGAGAGAAGAGAAGAGAGAAGAGAAGAGAGAAGAGAAGAGAGAAGAGAAGAGAGAAGAGAAGAGAGAAGAGAAGAGAGAAGAGAAGAGAGAAGAGAAGAGAGAAGAGAAGAGAGAAGAGAAGAGAGAAGAGAAGAGAGAAGAGAAGAGAGAAGAGAAGAGAGAAGAGAAGAGAGAAGAGAAGAGAAGAGAGAAGAGAAGAGAGAAGAGAAGAGAGAAGAGAAGAGAAGAGAAGAGAAGAGAAGAGAAGAGAAGAGAAGAGAAGAGAAAAGAAAAGAAAAGAAAAGAAAAGAAAAGAAAAGAAAAGAAAAGAAAAGAAAAAAGAAAAGAAAAGAAAAGAAAAGAAAAGAAAAGAAAAAAGAAAAGAAAAGAAAAGAAAAGAAAAGAAAAGAAGAAGAAAAGGTAAAAGGAAAGGAGGCAAGGAGGAAGGGAAAGATTGCTGATACTCGGTAGTCAGTCATCTCACAAACATGGTCATTTTCAACAACAAAAGAAGGGTTCTATAGGAAATGAGTTGATGAATGATATTAATCCCCTTGCCAGTATATTATTCTTTCAGGATAATCATATAAAAATCAATTGTATGGGGCCGGCTCTGTGGTGCAGCAGGTAAAGCTGTCACCTGTAGTGCCAGCATTCCATATGGGCGCCAGTTCAAGTCTCGGCTGCTCCACTTCTGATTCAGTTCTCTGCTATGACCTGGGGAAGCAGCGGAAGATGGTCCAAGTGCTTGGGCCCCTGTACCTGCATGGGAGACTCAGAAAAAGCTCCTGGCTCCTGGCTTCGGATCAGCACAGTCCCAGCTGTTTCAGTCATCTGGGGAGAAAGCCAGCAGATGGAAGACCTCTCTCTGCCTCTGCCTCTC